CCGGTGTTTTGGGAACGCCGGACCCCCAGGATCAAAAAATTCCGACCGGATTTTGGCAAAAAAAGTCAGTTTTGATTTCATTCAAAAAATATAATATGTCCGTTTTGACGAAATGACTGTTAACTCGTATCGGCTGACCAGGAGACGATCAAGACAGTAGGACGAATGACGAATGTCGCGTTCCAATTGGGAAAAGTGCATGCTTTAGGAGATGTTGTGGTGCTGGATGTGAATACGTATGACGTTCTTTTCGGGCTTCCTGCCTTGGTGGCGCTGCGTGCTAATTTAGACTTCGAACGCCGATTCGTCATTCTCCGGAATACCGGGGGAAAGCCGTATGTAATACCCATGAGACTAACTCTTCGAACGTCGGCTAAGGTAGTACCCCAAACTTCTCTGGACTCAATGGGAGTGCTCCACATGGTCTCCTAGAGTGCACCGGTTGACGGAGGCCAATCATCGAATGACGCGGGGAGCGACAATGATGACGATCCAGTCGTTACACGGTTAGTACGGCAACGGATTCACTACCCGCCGCCTCGCACCATTGCGCGTACCATGCATCTAACCATACAGAATGCTCATATAATGATCATGGGAGAACCCCTCGTACAGATTTCGAGGCTGGTTGATTCCTTGGAACCCCCTCGGACCCTGTACGAAGGCGTATCTCCCCTTCTCCTTCGGTATAGTGACAAACGTTCCTTTTGTGATCTCACTGACTTACCTCGATCCCTGCTTCAGCCCGCAAAAGAGGTTCAGTTGTTGCGTCTGGGAGCCGAAGCAGGTTTTTTGGAACCCCCTCAGCGCATCGAGGCAAAATCCGATGAACTCGGGATCCAAATCTCGCCCAAAAGCGTGCCGTGGCGAGACATCTGCGACGGGATAACCCCCGAAGGTCATACAGCGATAAGGGAACAGGAAGCATAGATGGTGGCCACTGTGTTTTCTTGGAGATCGGATCACTCTTTTATACCTGCACCGCCTGACACTACTCGGCGTATACACACGAAGCAAGTTAATGTTCGGATTTTGGATCAAATGTATGAATTGCATGTGCCCCAGTATGTATCTGATGAGATCCATCGGTTGATCGCTGATATTTTAATAGAGTATCAAGGGGCGATTAGCGTGTCCGATGCCGATATTGGGTTATCTGTGGTCGTTCAGCATGAGATTCTGACCGGGAATCATTCCCCGATCCACTGCAAGCCATACCGATAATCGTTGACAGAGCGCAAGACGGCCTTGCAGCGAATCAGGGAATTTGAGGCAAACGGATGGATTGAGCCTGCCACCGGTCCCTGGTCGTTCCGAGTTGTATTGGTTCCTAAAAAGAACGGGTCGGTCCGCATATGCATCGATTATCGAAAGCTAAATGATATCACGATTAAAGATGTGTATCCCCTCCCCCGGATTGATGATATGCTTGATGCGATCGGGTGTGCTAACTACTTCAGCAAGTTCGACATTCGGCATGGGTTTCATCATATCTTGGTGAAGGAAGAAGATCGGTCCAAGACCGCCTTTGTTTTGTTTGAAGGCACGTGGCAGTGGGTTCGGTGCCTGATGGGAATCTGCAATGCGCCTGGCACGTTTCAGAGGGCGATGAACGTGACTTTTCAGAATTTCGTCAATAAGACATGGCTGACTCAAGGGATGATTAACTTCTGCTTCATTGTGTACATGGATGACATTCTGGTGTACTCGGACACGTTTCACGGACACGCGCAACACATTGAATGGACGTTGGGTGCGTTGAGAGACGCAGGTTTCAAGATTGCGTTGGAAAAGAGCGATTTTTTCCTCCCGGAAATCTCGTTCTTGGGGTATGTGGTGACCCGAGGAGGCCTGAGGCCGGACTCTCGAAAAGTCGCGGCGGTCAAAGAGGCCCCGGTTCCGACCTCACTGACGCAGGTTCGAGCCTTCTTGGGCCTGACCTGGTATTACCGGCGGTTCATCAAGGGGTTCGCGGCTATAGCAAGGCCTCTGACAAACCTGCTGCGAAAAGAACAGCCCCTTCATTGGGATGACGAGTACGACCAGGCCTTCGGGGCCGTGAAGGATGGTCTCGTCATAGCCCCGATTCTGATTCGACCGGACCCCTCTCGGCAGTTTATTCTCATCACCGACTGGCAGCCGGAGGCTGTCTTGGCCATTCTGGCACAGAAGGGAAACGATGGGAAGGAGCATGTCATCGAGTACGCTTCCTGGACGGTGTCAGGCGAGTGACGAAATGATTCCGCGCCACAAGGAGAATGCTATGTGGTAGTGTGGGGTATCCAGCACTTCCATCCGTATTTGTACGGTCAAAAGTTTCTGCTCGTCACCGACCATGAACCTCTGTTGGCTCTGAAAAAGCTAACCAACTACACGGGCATGATCGGATGATGGGCGGTGCGGTTGCAAGAGTATGAGTTTGACACTGTTCACCAAAGAACGGAGAGACACGGCAACGCCGACGGACTGACACGTTTGCACCGACCCGGTAAAGTACCAAAGGCGGAAGAAATCACACCGTGGAAGGACCCGGACCTCAATAACGGTCCAAAGTACGGAAAAGTTGTGGTCATTCCACGTGCTAAGAAGCCGGTGAAGGGCAATGGGTGACGAAGGTAATGTCCATAATCCCTCTCTTTCTTCCCCATCCTCTTCTTTCGCCTCCCTTCCTGATAAATTTTGCTATTTTTGCGAGGCAATCTCTCGAGTCTATTCCGTCCACATGTGTCCTAAAGGGAGGGGATATGTTGAATGGGTAGACTGTCGGAAATGTGTCGCACGTCACGCGGCACGTGCTCATGATGCGTGCATACAGTATCGGAGTATTGATAAACCCTGGCTCTGTCCCTTATGTCGCACTGACAAGATTCCGACGGAAGCCCGATTCCTCGATGCCACGTCGGAAGGCCCTGACAAAATTCATAAATTTAGAAGAGCGGAAGTCTGGACAGATGTCGCCTTGATAGTCACTGTGGTAGGGAACTCCCTCGAAACCTTCTCCAAGGAGGATCGGAGGAGGGCCAATGAAAGAGCACGGGATTACCGATGGGTGGACGGACGGTTAGAAAAGCGTAAAACAGACGGCAGCGGGGCATGCTTAGTAGTTCCGCACCCGTTTATGCGGTACGACTGGGTACGGACAGCCCACGAGGAGACGGCGACGCATTTTGCCGTGCGTATTACCGAAGCTGCGATTGACAGAAATCAATGGTACTGGTCCAATATCCGGGACGACGTTAAATTCATCGTCCAACACTGCCAGGTCTGCGCTACTGACAAGGCCCCAACCCAACCGCCTAGGTCGATAGTCCCAACGGTGGTTGAACGGCCATTTCAGAGGGTTAGTATGGATACTACTGATATAGTGGTGCCCCCCGAACCGAATAGTTGCGACTGTTCAATTCTGCGGGTTTTCGTCGACCACTTTTCTAAATGGATCGAGGCCTACCCCTGCAAAACACGACAAGCCGCGGAAATCGCGCGGTACGTCAATCGTTTTCTAGGCATGCACCAGGACACCGAAGAGATCCTGACCGACAATGGGGTCGAATTTAGAGGAGAAGTCGAGAGAAAACTGGTCATACACGGCGTCTCCATACTTCACACGGCCCCGCACATGTCCTAGTCTAACGTATTAGTGGAAAACGCGAATAGGGTGATAAAAACGGCCTTGCGGCGGAATATTGCGGCACGTGACCCCCGACCCTGGCCTGATATTGTCGACCACATCTTGGCGATCCATCGCGGAACGCCCCACGAATCGACGGGCCTAAGCCCCTTCCAGTTGCGGACCAATAGTGTCACGTGTGTGTCGATACCGAGCCTCCCCGACGAATCAGGTCTCAACCGACGCCTCACAAGGGCCACCACTCGGGACAAAGCCAAAAGGCACCTGGAACTTATGGAGCGGTCCCTACCTAGACTAGCCCGGAAGTGATAACGGTCCACCGAATTGGCCCATGGCCGACAGGTCCGGAGTTACGAGGTCTGGAACGTGAATGTGGGTCCCAGGACCCAGTAAGTTAGGGGACATCGTGCAGGTAAGGAAATGTGCGCGCCAGGGTAAACTAGCGCCACGATTCTTTGGACAGTATCGAGTGATTGAACTCGGACCCAACGGCGTGGACACCGTGCGCCTCGCTCCCGAGGTTTCCGGCAGTCGATCGGCTCGCCCGATCACACGCCACGTGTCCTATCTCCGTCTTCTTCCCTCTGTTCCGTCTCCTTCTCCATCAACCTCTGTCGACGACGACTCTATCTCCTCTGCATCTCCTTCGCCTTCTCAATCTTTGTCGGATACGCCGTCACCATCGCCGTCGCCATGAGCTTTATGGAGGAGAGAGCTCTAAGTGAAGAAGCGCTGGTAGCACGTGGGAATTTGACACTGCGGCAGGTACATCATCCTTGTCTTAGTCCGGACCTTCAGCGGCTTGCGCAATTCTTCTGCTCGAGGGGCGTCTACACGGCAGCAGAGATCCACGTCGACGGGAGGGTTGACGCGATCATATTGGCCGAAGTTGTCGGGTTGCGGCAGCGAGCATCTGCGGGCGTCGGTCGGATAACGGTGGTAGTTAATTTCAGTGGAGATCTCACGGTGATCCCCCCCTACCGACACACGAGAATCAAGGTGGCGTTGCTGCTGTGGGTGCACAATCCTCAGAACGAGTGGACCCAGCTCCTGGCGCACCAAGGGGACGTGATCACACCAATCCGAGCAATCGAATACAACGGCCTTTGGCTGGATCGGCGTGACCCGCTGATGCAATTACCCCCTTTCATCCCCTTCCATCCTCGATGAGCTCCTTCCCGATCTCTACTTCTGAGCTTCCTTCTTCCTTCCCCACCTTTTGGCAATCTGATCTTCATCCCCGCCTCTCCTTCTGCATAAATCCTCTGGTTGTTCCCCTCCTCAATCCCTCTCAGTGGGACGCGTGGCGCAGAGACTTCATCGAACTCGCACTGTGTTTGGTGGAAGTACGGGTGGCATGGACGAGGGACGAGAAAAATTACCCGCGGTCTGAGCGATTGGAGCTCCTTTTGATTCAGGCATGGCGGACGGAAGTAGAGGGGAACCTTCTCGGTTTTCTATTCGGGTCAGTGCGTCCAGGCTGTCGGAGGCTCCTCACCCAGGAGCTTACGGTCCCGATTGCGCAGCTAGCCGACGATCTTGACGTCAGCATTGTCTCCCAGGGGCCAGGTCGACCTGCGCTTGGTGTCGCACGTCACCTCGCGCACGCTGTCGCCGTACCTTCAGTGGTCAGCTTGCGTGGAGGGCTTCCCATCGAGAATTCCGCCTTCACGGTTGGATTATTTGGATCCGCGCGACATCATGGATCCCGCGTTCTACAGACCGTCGTACGAGGATGAATTGGAGGAGATAATCCGCGAGGAGCTCGCGGAAGAAAGTTTGGAGGAAGAGGAGGAGAATCTGAACGAAGAAGAAGGGGAGCCAACACCGCAGCAAGAAGGAGAGGAAGATGAGCTCCTGCAAACGGAGAACAAAGAGGAAGAAGAAGAACAAGACAACAAGCAAGGGAGCGGTGACGACCACGACGAGGAGCACGCCGACGAGGATCCCCAACTAGAAATTGCGCCGGTTGCTGATCTTCCGATCAGCAACGATCCAACGCTCGACCCAGAGCCACCTCAGCCAGGCGACGACGATGTGGCCCTGATGGCTGGGCCGTCTGTTCGTCGGCCTCCTTCCCCACCGCGACACTGACGACGAAGCCACTCCCCCTCCGCCTCCCTCTCCCTCGCGGCTCGTCCTGCACTTCGAGCATGTCGAGATGAGGCCAATCGGTCTTCGTCCTCGGGCTCTCTCTCTCCGACCCCATGACTTCCTCACCCTGCGCCAGCTCACCCGTTCCGCCGTCTTCCCCCCCAATCCCTTTCCCCGCGACACTTTCCGTCATTACTTCTCCATCCTTCTCTCTGTCACAATCCATCCCCATTCATCCTCCCGGCGTGCTTCCCCTGAGTTCCCTCTCCGTGTACTTCTTTTAGCGTAGGATGGCGTTGTATCAACGCCGTAGAGGTTTATTGCCTCATTACGGGGTTAATCCCCGCATGCGCCGACCGCGATCGCTTTCGCGCGGCGCTTCTTAGAACCTTCACCACTCTCTATCCCGACTACCTCGCTTCTCTCCCCACTACTGGCCGCCGATTTCCCCGCTTCCATGGAATCGTCCATCATCGGAGCCTTCCGGAAACGGACGATGAGTTGGAACGTTTTTTCCCACCTATCCCAACTCATCCCCCATCAACACCTCCGCCTGCCTATCGTCTTCCTTTTCCTCTTCCCCACGAGTGACGACGACCAGGATACGACTGCCGCGCAGCATGACTTCCACACTCGTTCGCACGGTATGCGGCAGAAAAGAAGATCCACCATCCACGACCAATCAATCGAAGATCATCGACACGTCAGCTAGCAAGCAAGATCTTGCTTATCTTTGGAACCCCCTAGGCGTCACATATGTGACGAACTAGCTTCTGTAATGCGCGACTTTCTGCGCGAAGTGCTAAGCGAGGTCCCACGTCGATTGGACGGGTTGATGGAAAATTGCATGTGTGTCCTTGCTTTCTTCGTTCGCACACGAGTCCCTGATAACAGTTGGGGACAATTCGGGAATGCACGGGGAAAAGGGGTTGAAACTTGGTCTGATGGATGCGGAGTGCGCGCCGAGTGCGCGATTAATAAACGTTGACGTCGCTTCTTTTCTTTCGTTTCCCTTCTTTTAATTTTGTTTTGTCGAACTTTTGGGCGCGCAGACATCGCGCGGGAATTTCGGTGTCTCTTTTTGAATTTCCTTCTTGAATTTTCGTTTTAAATCTTGGTCAGAGCCATACGGCCTTCGGAATTTTGATTTTCTTTTTCGAACCTTTTCATCGGCAGGCTAGCCAGGAATTTTGGAATTTTGGAATTTCTGTTTTTCTGGGGCGCTGCTTTGCGTGTTCGCGCGCTCTTTCTTGCTGCTGCACCAGGACCTTGATTGATTGACGCCTTAATCCTTTTGCAACTGTAATTTTGGGCGCACACTTTTGTAACTGTATCTTTCTGTTTCTTGCTTCTTATTCTTCCCGCCTCGTTTCTTCCTCTCTCCCCTCCYTTGCTRGGTAGYCGCGTTTGCATGTTCGGATCGATGCGTGGAGTTGGGTACGTCCCCCACGCCGCGGCCCGACCGTGCAAACGTAAGCACTCCCTTTCTCCCATCTATCTACTTCCTTGTAATTCCGTATTCTTCGCGCATGCATGCACGCTATAAATTCCGGCTGCGCGATTAACCTTCTCCCTTAACAGTTGCTGGAAGCTCGGGGTTGCGAGATCGAGAGGGTCGGCACACGAGCGAAGTAAGAGGTGAGTGAAGTGGGAGTCGGGCGACCAAACGAGCTGGTGCCGAATGCGCGGGGTTGACGCGGGCCACGACGGACTGTGGGCACGGAGCGAACCTGACGGGCGCAGGAGGACTAAGTGGGGTAACGGCTTCATGCGTTGATGCGCGACGACGGACTGTCGGCATCGGGGAGAGAGAGAGAGGAGAGAGAGTTGAAGTCGAAGATGGACATGGATTTGCGCTTTTCTTTTCGGTCCCTTTTTTATCTATGTATATAAATTTTGGTGTCGATTACGGGCAACTCGCCCTTGTCTTTGCGGCCATATACTCGTCCTGTTGTTCGATTTGATTCTCCTTTTTTTTTTGTATCGATGTGGATGGTTCGCGCACCTTCGCATTTTCATTTCTGATCGTTTCCCTTTGAACCCTCGTGCATAATGAATGAGAATGGGGATTGCATGTTGGCGTGATCAGTAGAGTGTGTTGGCTTGTCGAATCTTACGGGTAGTCTGGAGCGCACCATCCGACGTGCCATATGGGCACCTGCAAGTGCGATCCGAATGGAGCGCGGCTTACATGTGTCCATACCACTCGGACTCGCCAATCGCGTCCTGGCTAACACCCGTAGTCAGCCCATCACTGAAGTAGGAGTTGACGTGAACCGGGATCGGGTTACCCATCACGCGTAAGTGCGCGTAAGTGCGACTTGTTCGCATCTCTCTTACGCACTTACGAGCGGTGATCTCCCCGATTAACTTATCCCCCAAGGCGYGAGTGATGAAAGAATGACGAGCTCGCGGAGTTCCRACGTATCTTGGAATTCCGGGGATTAYGAGTCRTATTTCGGGTACCGGKAAATCTAGGAAGAAGAACAACTCCGATTACGGGGAAATTTGAGAAACCCGGTGTTCCCCTGCCTCACGRAAAACGATAGATTYTGCGCTAGGGAATWMCATCTCGCCGTGCRAAGCGACCCACGGATACCCGACTACCCAAACACGTACAACACGCAGTATTTCATAACMCCCGGCTTYRTCCTTWTCACCACTAATTTYCCGCCATACCACCTCCTCCTCCCCTATCATCAGCTTACAGTAGTACCGTGGAATTCCATAGCGCCTTATTGGCCCTCCACCCCGCGCAGAAGCTGCAGCCGACGTGCCCATACCCGARCCCCCGGAGCCTCRGCATCTAGGCATAGTTCCCACCAACCCACGMCACGTGGCGGACCCCGAAGGCGTGGGCCCCAAGGACCGCYTCGACAGGCTCCCCAGAACTGGCGATCACGTCAGGATCGGACGGCCCCGCACAACCAGCGTGCAAGCCCGCGCCCGTAAATTTTCCCAGTGCTCTATTGCATCTCTGCCCCTGAACTC